TACTGTAGTTGTTATTACCTTTCCTGTAGGTACCGTATCGTCTGCTTGGAAATGGAGCTTTTTGACGACGCCTTCGTATCTCGAGGTGATCTATGGCCATTAGCTGAATTTCCAGAGTGTGTCTCTAAGAACGCATGAACTAACATCATCAACGGCTTTATCCGACTGGTATTGACATAGTGGTTTCCACTCTTCAATGTATGCGCCCTCCTCGACATACCACTGGATTATTTGGACCTCCGTTATCCCTGTGGGAAATGTAATGTAAACAACCGACAATGAAGGGGATATATATGTATCATGACCACAAGATGGTGGAAAGACGGTCATTTGGGCAACATTATCTTACCTTCGCCAACATCTTTCAGTACCTGAGACTTCACCCCCCACAGAGAGGCGGCGGCGTGGAATCCTCGACGAGGAAGAGGTCGTGCCTGGCACCGGATCACTGGCAGGGACCTTGGCCCGTGGCATAGCTGGAAAGCCCGGGACAAGCTCCGAGTTGAGCGCAAAATATTCATAGTTAACCCGGTGTCGGCTTCAACAGATAGAAGAGGGAGCGGAGGGAGGGACTTAGATGTAGCATTCCGGCTGCAGGATGGATGATGGGAGGGGAGTATGTAAGTAATGCTTCCTGTTGTTATCCAGGTACACCGGCGCCCGATGATAACCGATGCCTGGCATCATAGCACGTGACGTTACTCCGCATTTCCACTTTCCGCCCGCAACTACTAGTAACTAATACTTTGGGGCCGCTGGTTCTTCCGCCATTGGAACATGGCACGTGCGGGCCGAGCTATACCAAAGGGTATATGACGAGTACTAAGTAGCGGCTAGTAGTATAGTACTACTAAATAACTTGGTGGTCATTTCATTTAGCTGAAATGTTTTAATCTACTCCGCCTAGTCTAGGAAAAATGAACACGAACTCTGGGTCTAAATGGGATGGCTATTATAATTAACCCATTGTTAATTTAACTAACTAAATGCTGTAAGCTAAAGGTTAGGCTTACTAAGAAGCAGGGGACCCCTTGCCTGGGCTGGTAAAGTACACAGTACTACTAACTACCTTACGTAGTAACTACTTAGTCATGTAGCATGGTCTCGTTTAGTTAACTAGTATCAGGTGGAATGAATACTACTATCTGGGACTTATCAGGTTGCTTATCGCAGCTGCTGGAACACAGCCTAATACGTTGCTTCTTCTACCCCGGCTCGGATATCGGCGGGTGGGGAAATCACCCGCTCTAAGGACCGACGCCAACCGGCCTCCGCATTCCCAGCATCCCTCGAGTTAAGAATAACGCCCTTCTATCATGAGGAGAGGCCACCATCGCATATCCTGAATACCCAGGGCTGGCCCTCCTTTCAGCAACTACCTCCAACATGCAGTCATTGCGGTCAACGCGCTTTTTGCGCTCTTCCCAGCCGCTGTCCAAGGTCCCACGGCGATGGAGCAATTCTATATCCCAGCGCCCTGGATCGGATCGGTAAGGTCACTCACAAAAGCCTAGCTCAGATGATTGGGAGCATATAGCAAGCTGACAATAGTAGTGTCCGATTTCCAGGCGCCATCAATAGCAAATTTACCACCGACATGACCTTCATCAATCCCACCGAAATGTCCAATATACCTACGTACCGAGTCATGGACTCCGACGGAGTACTCGTGGACAAGTCGCGCAAGTCCATCGATGTGCCAAAGGAGGAGATTTTGACATGGTACAAGAATATGTTGACAGGTTGGGGATATCTCATATTATCATGCTACCTATTTCATGATCTGACGGCATCTAGTAAGTGTCATGGACGTCATCATGTTCGAAGCGCAACGGCAGGGTCGACTGAGCTTCTATATGGTATGCTCAGAACCATCATTACCTCGATAATATTGAAGTCTGATCTCGTTAGGTATCTGCCGGTGAAGAAGGAATCAGCGTTGGATCCGCCGCAGCCTTAACCCCCGACGACGTAGTATTCGCCCAGTACCGTGAAGCAGGCGTCTTCCAACAACGCGGCTTCACTCTGAAAGACTTTATGAGCCAACTGTTTGCGAATAGATTCGATAACAGTAAAGGCCGTAACATGCCCGTTCATTATGGCTGCAACTATCCCCGAACAGTTCGTCCCCTCCACACGACCTGCCCAACCGCATTCTAACCATATATCTAGCACACAATCTCCTCCCCCCTTGCAACCCAAATCCCTCAAGCCTCCGGTGCTGCATACGCTCTAAAGTTACAATCACTACAGAACCCCGATACCCCGGCGCGAATTGTAGCCTGCTATTTCGGCGAAGGAGCCGCCAGCGAAGGCGACTTCCACGCGGGCTTAAATATAGCCGCGACGCGGTCCTGTCCCGTGGTATTCATCTGCCGCAACAATGGATATGCAATTTCCACCCCGACACTAGAACAATACAGGGGCGATGGTATCGCCAGCCGTGGTGTTGGCTACGGCATTGACACCATTCGGGTGGACGGTAACGACATATTCGCGGTCTACGAGGCAATGCGTGAAGCTCGTCGTCTCGCCCTCCAAGATGGAGGTAAACCTGTCCTCATCGAAGCAATGAGCTACCGTGTATCGCATCACAGCACCAGCGATGATAGCTTTGCATACCGGGCAAGGGTAGAAGTCGAGGACTGGAAACGTCGCGATAACCCGATTATCCGGTTGCGGAAGTGGTTGGAAAATGAGGGTCACTGGAGCGAGGATTTAGAACGTGAAACGCGTGATAAGATTCGCAAAGAGGTGCTCAGGGAGTTTGGAGAGGCAGAGCGGGAGAAGAAGCCCCCGTTGAGGGAAGCATTTGAGGGGGTCTACGACGAGTTGACGGAGGAGGCAGAGGCTCAGATGAAGGAGCTAAAGAGGATACTGGAGACATATCCTGAGGAGTATGACTTGCATCAGTTCCAAGATGGAGTGAATGGGTTACGATAGATTTGTGGTCCTGGGTGACGCTTCTTGTCAGCCCAAATCATGAGGAACCTACGTGGCTGGCTTTCTTTTATGTTTATAGCTGTAAAGCCTGATCAGCATATAGAGGAAGATTCATCGTCCTTCTCCATCATACATATTCGTGAAACGAATGCCTACTCACCAAGAGATCACACATGGCGCAAGGCGGCCTTTGGGCAAAGTAAGAAGCAATTAGGATGATCACAGGAGTTTCCAGGCTGCATCTGATGCACTACCATGCTGCCGTCTTTCCGGGTGCACGATCGAATAGGGGAACCCTTTCTCCCGGCGCGTCTGATAAACAATTTCCTCGGACATTTCAGGAGGCCGTCTCTACTAGGGCTGAAGGAGAACAAGCCTGCCTTGGCCCGCCGTCAGACACGGTAGACACCAGAGTGCACCTTGCCTGCACGAAATACATGTCGTCAAGTTAAATTTTTAGCTGAAAACCTGTCCAAGCAACCAACTAAAGCTCAGTTTCTATCTGACTTTACTTACTACTATTAGTCGAAGTGATAAATTATGGAATAGTTGGATATTTCTGCGGCGCTATCGACTAGAGCCAGCGACAATCTCCCGGACGACCAGCCAACCAGATGCAAACACAAAGGTACTTCAGCAGTAATCCTCATCTTAGTAATCGCCTACATGTCTACATATGTACAGAGATTTTCCGAGCCCCTTTCAAGCTCGAAACCAGCGGAATGACCAGCCCTCACGAACAGAATCTGCTGCGTTGCCCTTCCAAAGTCCCATGACATTCTACCATGAACGTGGCTGGCTTTGCCACCTCCCCGGGATATCTCAATCATCAGAGTCGATAGAATGGATTTCAAGGCACGACTGACGTTTCATGAGGGTGAGTCAGCGGATGCTGTGATCAAACCAGAGCATTTTCAGGGAAAAAAGTGCTGTAAGCCGTCTGCTCCTGGCAGACATGCATGAGAAGGAAGATGGTATTGTAAAGGTCAAAAGTCGTGGTGAGAGGCTGAATCCACGGGGCTAACCCACGGATGGATACATGGTTCATCTATAAGATGGGGGAGCGAAAGAAGTGGTCGACATGACGAGATCGATGTGGCATGCGACAAGTGTAGCTGTCTAGAGATAACGTCGGTTCCGGTAGGTGGGACTTGCTGAGGAAACTCTGGTAAAGTAGCGGTTGCGAAGGGGCGTATTGTGATCTTGATTTTCCCCTTGGTTCTTCGATAGTTGTGAGACCAAATTGATATGCGTACCGGAAGGATGTACTCGACCTGGGAAAGCTGTTGATGCCACCGCCACGCAGGCAGCAACGGCGGGGAAAGGGAAAACCAAGGGGGTGCAACGGACAAGATTGGAAGCAGTCCAGGTTCACAGACGGGAGAGGAGAAATGGCAGCTGCCATGGATCGACAGCATGATTGACAACATGGTTGCTGATCTATCATAAATTGCACTCTTACCTCCTCTGGGGTACCTATACCCATTCTTACACTGTTCAATACTTCTGAGACCTATACGAGGAGCGTAAAAATTATCTCCTCTCATATTCACGTCTGCTTATTCTTTTTCTTATTTAGTCTTGTTTATCTGGGGGCCTGGAGCTTGTTTTAAACAGTGCTGGATGATGAAGAACCATTCAATGTATCACATGGAAACACAGGTCAGTCCACAGGAATTACCACAAACGCCTGTCGAGCCCCGTCGAGACGGGAAGCTGCTTGTCCATGATACTACAGTCCGGTGAAACCCGCGATACCTTTAATCCGCGTGGCGTCTGCCTCCCATACACACGCCATAATATAAGAGGGCAATTTGGTCAGTATTTCGAGAGCAGTATTCCAGCCAGCCCGTTTCTTTTTTTTTTTTTTTTTTTTTTTTTTTTTTCGCCTAGTCTATTTTTCCCCTCACTCCCATATCGTCTTTAAAACCTAGTATCCTTTTAGATTTCGCCAGGAGGAATCAGGTAGCACATGATGAATGGGGCATAGTTGGTCATGATTTTTCTTTTTTAATATATTCATATACTTTTATATGTATATATATGTATATTGATTTTTATTTTTCTTTTCTTTCTTTTTTTTTTTTTTTTTTTTTTTTTTTTTTTTTTTTTTTTTTTTTTTTTTTTTTTTTTTTTTTTTTTTTTTTTTTTTTTTTTTTTTTTTTTTTT